GTACTTTGCCATACTTAGTTCCCAGCACTTAGTTCCCCCATGGAACTAAAGTGCAGATCGCGTTCACACCTGAATAAGTTCCCTGAGGGAAGGTTAGGCAAATGAAGCCGCTGACGTCACTTCTTCTTCTGCTTTGGGTTTACTGGCAGGCCGCAAACAACTTCACGTGATAGAATTACTAACAAAGCACTTATATACTAATAAAGGGCTGGCTTATATAAAGCCAGTTGAATAGCACTTGAAATGTTTTAGCTCTATGAAACCTGATGTACTTATATGATTCTGTTTTCTTCAAGTTTGTATCTTGTTGGTCGAACGCACTTATTGTAAGTCGCTTTGGATAAAAGCGTCAGCTAAATCCAATGTAATGTAATGTATACTGCCACCCGAAGTCCCCGGAGTTGGGGACTGGCTTCTGGGTTGTTGTTTTATTTTGTGTTTCCATAAGTTAGTCTCTCTACGTTTGTGCGCTGGGCTAGTGCTAATAATGCAATGCGAAGATAATAAAATGGCGGCTTCACAAAACCTTTTGGGAGTTTTACTGGGCGTGGTTTGCCGCCCAGCCAGAAAATAGTAAAAATGTTCTCCAACGAAAGTCTCTGCTCTCTAGCAGGGACTGAAAAGGGGGTGGAAAGGTTCTCATTAACTAATTTTTGTTCCGGATTTTTTTGGAAGCAACATTTCGGAACTAAAGTGGGAAAAGTACTGCGGTGTGAAAGCGACTCATGACTGTGGTTGGAGTTGTATTTAACCAAATTGGATCAGCTTATCAAATCCTTTGAAATGTGTGTAGGTAATAATATAAACATTAAGCATGTGAAGATGCTGACATGTAAAGTCTATCATGTTAGGAATGTTAGGTTAGTATTCATCTCAAAAGACAGAGACAAAGGACAGATGTATTTTTATACATTTAGGATAAACTCCACTCGTGAGTTCCAACACCGTCCAATCAGGTCGGCCTGCAGATCAGCTTCATTATTTATTTTTGATGTACTTCAACATTCCACAGATTCCACAAACAATAGCGATGTGAAGTCAGAAAATGAAATTGAAACAGTGAGAAGCTGAGTCATCAGGGAGTTCACAGTGCTAGCATGTTTGTATTCATGGAACAAGTTAGTAAGTATTGACTAAAATAAACATTTAAAGAAAGGGCACGCTAGCTGAATTATTTTTGGACAAACTGAAACCATGAGCTAATCATCTCATTGATAACACCTACACAAATATTTAAAATATTTGTGGACTTTTCTTGCAAATACTGATTTAGTTAGTGTTATCCCAATCCCAAACGCTTCCTGGTTGTCATGTTTGTGCACGCTCTGGTCTGATCAGTTGTCTTTTACATACTGTGGACAGTCTCAACCAACAGTCCTAGTGGGTTTGATCATTTGCTTACCCAAATAACGAGGCAAAATTAAGTTAATGTAACAGTTCCCACAGGCGGAATGTTTGAAAAAAGACCCAGCAGTCTCACAGTAACACGGCTTTGTTTAGCATAGCTGCCTGACAGATTAGTCTCCACCCAAATCATTTCTTCCTTTCTAACCTCATAGCGGTGTATTCTGAGCCAACTGTGTGTACCAAGGACCTCCAAGCTGTACTCACCATCGGCAGCCTGCAGCCGGGGATGCTGGGAAAGTCGTGGTGCTCGTTGTGGTAGCCCACGTTGAAGGTGAGCAGGTTGAGGGAGCCGTAGTAGGAGTAGGTCTCGTGGCCCTTGAGGAACATGTAGTGCTCGGCTATGAAGTGTCCAGAGATGGGGTGCAAGCCCATCCCCAGCAAGGACCCAGCCATCATGTAGACCACAGGTTTGCCCCCCCACAGCCAGTAGAGCAGGACGTTGAAGGTGAGCTGCACTGCCACATTGGTCACCTCCAGCTGAGTGATGGGTTTGGGGTTGATGCAGAGGGGCCGGATGGCGTAGAACAGCGGCTGCAGAATAATCCAGATGAATTTGCGGAAGGGTGTGCAGAAGAACCAGCCCTCAAAGTCAGTGGGGATGTCTACGTCCACCCCGTCTCCACCCAGGTAGCGGTGGTGGTCCAGGTGGTAACGTTTGAAGGAGGCGGAGTAAGGCAGGCCGATGGGTAGGTTGGCAAACATGGCAAAGTAGCGGTTCCACATGGCCTTATTGTTTCCGAAGGCCGTGTTGTGGGAGATCTCGTGAATAGCGAGCGTCATTGAGTGGTTGATACAGCTGCCAAAGGCGTAAGTCCAAAACAAAACCCACTTCCAGTCCAAGTCTTTGACCAAGTAGAAAGCTAGAAACTGTATCACCACCATCATGCAAACAATCCATTTCAGCCTCGGGTCAGGACCCATCAACGACTTGATTTCTGGGTACTTGGCTGTGGGGGAGAACACAACAGAATTCAGTTAAACTCAGAGAACATTGTTATCTGATTCGACCAGGAAACAAACATTTAAATGAAGGCATTTAGCTAATGATTAGAGTCAAACAATTATACATCTGTGTTATTTAGCCTCAGTTAAGAGAATGTAATTTCCTTTTAAGAACAAGCAGACTTGGCACAAACAACCATTTCAATGCAGATGTGTAATTACTGATTTGCAGCTTGTGAAATGTATTGCACCATCCCCCAATTCTCTGATAAGCCAGAAGGCTTTAGCACAAATCAGCTACAGTGCATGGTTACTCCCAAACAGCCTCAAGCACCTCTTTTTAACCTGCTTTTAAGATTTGTATTGACCTCAAGTAATAACTAGCAGCACAGGTTGGGTTTGACACACGCAAGTAATTTAGTCAACAGATTAATGAAAGGTTTATTCTATTAATGTTTTCATTTTATAAAAAAAAAAAGTGTCTCACACTTAACCGTATAATGAAGATGAAACAAATTAAGCCTAACTGACTCATCTATTCATATTTTCCAATCTTAAAAATATATTCATCTTAAGGCACAAACCAACAACTCAGCTCGGACTGTGAAATTACAAATACAAGTTGTTGCTGTATATTAACACCATTTCAAACCCATATGGCATATGTCGGGCCGTGTTCGTGCATATGCCGCCCTTGTAATTGTTTTAAATGCTACTGCAATTTTCTTATCATGCTGTGTGCAGATACGTTGTGACTTTTGACCTCCCCTCTTTGTATCCAGCAGTAATGGAGACCTGGGCTTTACATTGTAAATCCTTTTATCAAATCTTTGTTGTCTTAATCACTGACGGGAACCAAAGAACACACAACGGGGACGTTGTGTGTGACTGCGGCATTGAACCACAAACCATGCAACACCTCCTGATATGCCCCCTGCTGGAGCAACCCTGCACAACATCGGACTTGGCAGAGTTTAATGAGAAAGGACAGCAATGTGTTCAGCTGTGGCTGAACCACATCTAACCAAGCCCTGTAACTGACTGCCTTGTGGACACGATAAGAAAGAAACCAAAGAACAGTAAACATGGAAGGGCATTAAGGGGTCAAAGTCATTCAGCCCATCGAGTCATCATCAGCAGACTGAAATGTCTTCAAGACAGTGCAAGCTGTTACTAGCCGGGATGTAGACATGCAGCAAATCAGATTGGAACATGTCAGACCCTTGGTCGGCCTTGACTCATCGTCAGCAGTAAAACAATGTGCTGTTCCCATTTACCAACCAACCTGTGAACCTGTAGCTTTGCTTAATAAAACAATGTACTGTGGAAGCAGAGACTGCACAGGGGTTGGAGTTAAAGCTGACTTCACAACCTTCCACATCACTCTTGAGTTCTCTCTGTGGAGATTTGAATACATGTGAAAGCACTGCAGTGGTGGAAAAGGTACTCAGATCTTTGACTTTAGTAAAAATAGCAATAATACAGTGTAAAAACACGCATTTACAAGTAAACATACTGCATTCAAAGTTATAATCAAAATATTCTTGAAGTACAAAAAGGGGCGCTTTATGCAGTTTATTTCAGAATCCTATATATGTTTAATTATTTTACTTCACTTATTGAAGCATTAATGCCAAAGTTGCACTTGGTAAATGTGGAGTTTGTTGTCAATTACCTCATATGCTGCTGGGTAGCCTACTAACCTATACTAATATATTGCAACGTGTTGATTGATTTATACTTTGTATTTATAATCTAAATCTGCAAAGTAACTTTTAACTTAAGTTGTAAAACAAATATAGTGGAGTAAAAGTGGCATAAAGTGAAAATACTCAAGCCAAGTATCTGCATTTAAGTGACATGGTATCAGCCTGAATATAAATAATTGCATGTTGAAGAGAATTTATTAGTGCAAAGCATTTTCTGTTTAGGAAGATCACTAGTAATTGATTTCATTCTAACACATTTCCAATCGTCAATAGTCAATTAATTCAAAGCTGCACTCACAGTTCAAGATGAACAATAAAAAGGCCAAATAACACAATGAAACACAATGGTCTATCCATGATAAAAGATACAAGTCACAGAAGGCTTCCCTTTCAAAGCCATTAAATATTCATTTGCATTACAGAAGTTGCAAATAGCAAACAAAGAGGGCTTTCAGGTTACATGCGTTCTATCAGGGAGGTTGCAGCAGAAAGAGACAAGTCTCAGCAAACACTGCCTCCTGTGTCATTACCTCAGTGTGTTGCCCCCCACAACCGAGGCCTGAGGCATGTGACTGAATACCGCTAAGCTCTTCTCAAGATACAAAAAGAAACAAAACCAATGTTTCTTAGTGCGTGTTCTCCCTCGGTATTATCGAACAAGGAAACAACTGAACCCAGTCTGGAATCTGACCCAGTGTTTGCTGAGGTTTGGAGGATTAATTTCAAGCTATCAGTGAAGCATGGCAGTAAAACATGGTAATACAGTTGACAATTATAAAACCTTATGCATTTTATATCAACTGGATAACACTGACATGAATGAGTGTGTGGCAGTCTGGCTGTTATACCGTCATATTTGCCTAGATGGTTATTGTACAATGGAATAACCTCATACTGTTACACCCTAGTGGAAACACAGAACCTTCCTCGTGTGTAGTGAAGCAGTGTGTCTCCTGATCGCTCAGTAAATGAATAGTTCAACCCAGGAGACAGCTGGCTGTGTGAGTCTCATTATCCACAGCACTGGTCTCACCCCCGCCTCACAATGGCAGTACCTTTTGTTTGACAAATGGACTTTTATGCAAAGTGTGAAAAGACTAAAGAGATACAAAGCGGTACATAAAACCTACACATCCTCAACCATCCAAAACGGGCTCCACTTCCAAAGGGATTGAAGAGGACTGCCCTTTTTGATAAATGGGAACACAATGCAGGATTAGTGTTGCCTTTTTACCTCTGTGATGAGATCTTGTGTGGAGGAAGGAAATGCTATTTGACTCCATTGGAAATATAATTATTGTTAAAGTAGTTTTCTGCAATGAATTTGATTATGTATTACTTACTTTAATTAAATACCCTAATATGTTGGATGACACCTACTATGTTATGCATTACAAGTGTATGCAATCCAAAAAGAGAGAAATCAGTTTAGTCATTTCAAATATTGGTATAACAAGATTACGCATATGAATGTATTTCCTCAAATGTGTGTAAAACCCTCCAAAATGTGCCCATGCCAGATATTATAATATGAAATTGATTAGTAAAGTAGATGGATGTTCGGTTGTCATTTTTTACAAAGGCAAATATAGTATAAAGACAAACAACTAATGGATACTTAGAAAATGATGGGCACATTACTTGATTATCGTAATGATCATTAACTAGAGCCCTAAAATTAAACTAGGGCATGATATCAATAAAGCTAATTAAATATCTACACTTGATAAGACAAATGCAGCAATAAAAAAGGTCTTGAACCTGATTTCTTATTAAACAGCATCATGTTACGTCAATTAAGTTAGGTATTAAACACTTCTGAACTAGAAACTAAAAGGCTTCCCTTCTGGCCTGGTGTTTCCTTTCATGACTGTATCTAACGTTGAACCGTTACTGCTACTTCCCGCTAGCAGCACCTCAGAGACTCGGTGTTATGTCACTTCAGGGAGTGGCGAATTGACTAACATTACTGTGGCTGTAGGGTTAACGTTACATTGCTAACATGGTTATGTTTCATTAAGCTAACTAGCTACAACTAGCTTTTATAAATATAACTACTTTGATAACAGCCGTGTTGGTTGCTGTCAGTCATTAAAGGTTGTAATGTATTCACCAACCCAACCTGTGTCAGTTAGCTAGTCTGTTACTCGAGAATGCACAGCAGGATATTAAACCGTTAGCTAGCTTGCATAAGTTAGCAAAGCGAATCAGCTGATATGGAGGAGGCATTTATGCCAAACTGCACGGTTAACCAACGTTAGTCATCAACATACTAAACCAGTCGAGTAAACATAGTTTTATCTAAATAAAGTTCACTATGGGTTTTTCTAAAACTTTCAGACGGATCAGCTAGCTCACCCAGGATCTCTTTCCTCCTGTCGGCGTGCGGCTGGTCTGTGTACACCCACTCGTAGTCCTCACGGGCGACCCGGTTCCCCATTTTTTACTGTAATAAATGACTTTCTTGTATAAAAAAACAAACTAAATATCAACCGATCGTTTCAGAAGGGAACTTCTAAGATTCTCGTCCTCCTCCTCTCCTCTCTCCTCAGCCTATCGGGCCGCCTATGATCTGGCGGATTGAGTCAGCTCTGACCGGCTGCAGCTCCTCCTACAGCCTCTCAGACAGCAGGCAAGCATATTGAATGACGCAGTTTTTATAAACTATAAAATAATAGTTATAACCCTGTCAGAAATAGCAGCTGGTCAGAGATGACTAGTTAAATTACAGTAGGAGATTTCAGTTGAGATATTGCAAGACAACCCATTGTCTTCTTTCAAATTTATAATACCATGCCAAGATAAGAAAACCCGTCCAACGTTACCTGGTTCTCATCAGGACACAAGGGTAAGTCTCTTTGTGCTTCAAATCCAACATGGTATGGCACTGAAGCAGTGGTTCCCAAACCCGTTGTTTACATTGTCTATCATTACCTGACGATCCCTGATATGTGAACTATTTTATGAATATTAAATTGTATTTTCAATGCAAAGCAATTAGGCCATCTGATCAACTACACAATTACCTAGAACAGTAGCCTGCAAACAACTGCAGGAACTTGGTGTAACATTTGTGATTAGGGCGATTTTTTTGTAAACATCAGAGATAAGATTTGTTGATATCTTTACATATAATTAGCCTATGTGCTTTATCTGCAGTTTTAACTGCATGCATTTTTATGTCCTGAACCGGAAAATGGTTTAAGGAAATACAATATCACACTCGCAGCTTCTTGTCAAGAGCTGTGGCCTCCATCCTTCCCACAAACTATACAACTGTGAACATACAGAAACACACTTCCACCTCTCAACAGTGGCGGTTCTAGAACAATTTGACTGGGGGGGCCAGGCTGGGGCCAGTTCTTTTCTGAGGGGGGCACAATAAATGCAGGACGAAAAAGACAAAGACAGTATGAAGTAATTGCGCATAAGAAAACAATGCAATACAGTTATTGGTATTTGTTTCATTACACATTATTATATGCTTACCTTTAACCTTTGTGTGCTGTCTGGGTCTGTGGGACCCGTTTTCAGTGTTTACTCAAATAAAATGTATTCAATTTAATTATTTTAACCTGCTTTATTTTGGGTGGACCTCACATACTCTAGGGGGCTCCGGGGGCATGCACCCCCGGGAAGATTTGTTTTTTAATGTCAAAGTTAAAAGCATCAATCTGGTGCACTTTGAGCACACAATGAATTTATGGATACAGATCTCAACACTCATATGAAAGGGAGCTGTATACTTTTCAATAATCCAAACATCTTTAGAATCCTTTTAAACTGTTTTTTTTTTTACTGTCCTATAGTTCACATTGGAATGATTTCTTACTTTATTTTTTACTATAATATTAAATAGATAAAGGTGTGCTCTCTCTCTCTCTCTCTCTCTCTCTCTCTCTCAATTCAATGTTCAATTCAATGTCAATTCAATAGCTTTATTAGCATGACCTACATACAGTATTGCCAAAGCTCTGTATAGTTGCAACATCTATACAAAAATACACACAAATAAACAGTTATAACAAACTGCTAAGAACATGTTGTTTTGTTTACAAGGAATACAGATTCATTTCATTCATATAATACATTAATACAAAATAGAATATGATATAAGATATATGAGATGTGAGACCTGGTGTATCTGCTCATTCCGATTCCCTCAAACTGTGGCAGGCATAGACAAACTGTCCTGCAACAATGCAGCTCTCTTTATATTCTCCGAGAAGTATTTTTAGTTTTTCATTTTTAAATATTTGAGGATGCTTATGATTGAGTTTTGGTAATAATAGTTTCCCTATAGGTCAAAAGTTAGGCATTGTGTGAGGAAGTGCTGCTCTGTCTCCACAGCAGTTCCTCCACACTGTTGGCATGATCGCTCCTCTTTTGGCAGCCATGTTTTCTTGTACCTG